CTCACTGCACAACCGGCTGAGCCACTTAGACCTTCCATCAATACAGTCACAACCTTTGTTGATGGATCGTATTTGAAGAGCTTCCCGGTCGCGTCTTTTAATCCCAATGCAATAATCACTTGGCTACATACATAACAAGAAAAACGCATGTTTAGTAACCAAAATATAGTTCTTGAAATTTCAAGAAAACAAATGGTAATAGTATATTTGTGTAACTAGAAGATAAGAAAATTTACAGTGGGGTGAAGCGTGAGCTGAAGGAAGTGAAGTAGACGACACCAGTAGTGGGATCAACGTCAAGACCGTCGAGAAACTTGAAGGGTTTACCGTCCACACTGTCGGCGATCTTCACGGCCAAACCCCCGGCGGGAGAAATAACGTGAAGACCCAACGGAGCATCGGCGACGTAGAGATCACCTGTTTTCTCGTAGATGGCTATCCCCGCCGGTCGACCGCATGTTCCGGCTAAAGCCGTTCCGATCATTCCATCGCACCATGAAGAGTTCCTGAATTGTACGTAATGGAACCAATTGTTATCAATGCAAGAAAACTTGGCTTTTTGGTACCCCCCATCTCTTAATTAATAAATATATATATATCATCATTAATACTAAAGAAAACATAATTATGTTACGATCATATTTTTTTTTGCAGATGGTAAAACTTTATCCTCTACCTACTCTACCAAACCATGTTTAATTACGTGTGTGTAGGTATGTTAGTTAATTTTGACTTCTTCACCTTGAGGCGTGTTAGTGATTTTGCTGAGTTGGGTTTTGGTAGGAATTTACGACACATTGCTAATGGCTAACGTGAGACGATAAACACGAGGAAATAAAAAGGTTGCATCTCGTCCACCCACTCGTCCCTACAATAAAGTTCCTAAGAGCATGATTAAGATCAATGGTGGATCTTAAATAGTTTTTACTGGGTTATTAAAAATTAAAAACAATTAAATAATAAAAAAAGTTTTAGCAACCCCAACAAACAAAAGATGATAATTTAAGAGATATAGAAACCCAAAATATAGATTGCTAAAAAATTAAAAACAATTTATAATAAAAAAAAATTACTAAACAATCCAACTTAACTCCCACCATTAGTCATGCTCTGATCATTCATATGATTTTACGGGTGGTGGACAAAAATAAATAGTATTATCCAATATTCTCCTTTTTTGTGATATATAATACTACAAGATTATACATGTGAAATTAACATCATTTTAGTGGATTTTACGTAGTTTTCCACTCGTTATAATCCCTTAAAAAATCATATTTTCATCATCGTCTCTAAATTAAATATTCCATTAAAAAAAGAACGGAATTAAATCTGGATACGATATATTTTAAAGAATTTTAAAAGATTTAACAGTTCTGATGATCACTAGTAAATTCCAAAGTGTATCTCCAAAATTGCGAATTTTATATAAAAACATTAAAAATAAAGGAAACGATAATAGCGATCCACAAAGAAGCATAATCATCAAAAGTTATATAGTATATGATCTTGGAGATCAAAGGAACATAAAAAAAAAAACTTACGAGGTTTCTGTGATCTGTGCAAAATTGACATAACCAGTCTCGGGAAGGTACTTAAGGATTTTACCGCCGGAGACTCCGGTGTAGAATCCTTTTCCGGTGGAATCAAAGGCGAAAGATTCAGGACCTGTCCTACCTTCCGGCACCGGAAGTTTCTGGAAAGACGTGTCATCGGAGAAAACCGCCGAGGA